GGCTGCCTTCCGCGTGGCAGGCGCAGTACCCAGAGCCTCCAGAAGGGGTTGCGGCGCGCGTTGTCGGCACAAGACTCTATTGGCAAAGCAAGCACACAAAATTAAGAAGACTGTTTTGACAAGGGTCGCTCACAAGTTTCTTTTTTCTCACCATCCATCATATCATTCATCCTTGTCTTCTGAGCCAGGGTCATCACTATCAGCCTTGCTTTGCCCCCTCTTGCTGTATGGCCTCTTTCTGGCACCCGAACCTGTCCTTGTGCAGAAACCCAAAGACATTCTCCAGCATCTCCTTGTCCATCAGCACAAACACATCCTGGGCCTTGAAGTTCTGAGGTGTCAAGACAACAACTTTGCTTCCACAAACATCCACCTCCAAGGAATCAGGGTGAGGCAATTTTTTTTGCTTTTTTTTGGTGGGTTGCCTGCACCTTTTTCATCTTCAAAGACACCAGCAGGCTCAGGTGGCATCACAGCATTGCGCAAGGCCTGTTGCACAGAATCCTTTAGCATCTGCAGCCTGGAGCTTCCTGCCATGCTTGGGTTCTTGCTGCCCTGGAACAAGGCTGTATTTTGACCACACAGCAGTTTGCACACTGCAGGGTGGGTGCATTGGAGCTTGAAAAACTTTTGGCCACCAGACTCCACCACCAATGCTTTTGGTATTTGCACCATTGTCCCTCCTTGAAAGGACATGGCAAGCCTTTCCTCAATTTCCACCATTGCCAGCAGTACAGACCAAGTACAGCAAGGCCTGGGCCACAACAGCCTATACACTCAGTCAAAACTTTGCTGGCTAGTTTTGAGCCCATGCATGGTGCAACATAGTGTGGATGACAGTATATATATAGAGAGAGAAGCCTGTATTGGCATGAGGTTGGTTGTTTTCCAAAATGGCACAGCCTGTGCTGGCCATTGGCATACACAAACAACATTTGCTTTTCAATTTCTTTTTTCAGCACCACCACACTGCTTCCACACACTGGATCTAGATGCACCAAGTGTCCAGCAAGGCTATTCAAATGTCCTGCTTGGCTTTCCTCTTCTTCCCTTTTGGCTCCTCTTTTTGTGGAGCCTTGTAGTACAAGAGCTGGGAGCCTGCATCGATTTTACCTTTAGATCTCAAGCATGGCATGGTGAGCCAGCCACTGTATTTGTTTTCCACCAATTCCATATTGGCATCTTCCTCCTCCTCAGTGCAACCAACCCAAAAGAAAACTGGTATGCTTCCAGTTTCTTTGGCCACATCCACTCTGGGAGCTGAAATTTGGTACCTAGCACCAGTCCCCTGAACCACCAGCACAGATTTCTTGTCCAGCTTGTCCACCTTATCAGCCTTGACTTTGGTAATGTTGCCATAAGGGAAAACTTTCAGCACATTCTTGATCTGCTTTGCAGCCAGCACTTTGTGGGTGTTGGTGAAGGCCAGCAAGTTCAAATCAAGTTTCCCTTCCTGAGCAGGCAAGTTTGGAAGCAAGCTTGCACCCACCCCCCATGTTCACCAACAAGCAGTCAAACATTGCAAACAAGGTGCTCTTTGTAGTGCTCCAAGAGAGCTGCCTGCACTTGGGCTTTCTCAAGCTCTGCAGCCCAATGCTCAGAGTTCTCCCAATGCTCAGAGTTCTCCATTTGCAATTTCTTGACCAATTCAGGAGCCAGCAGACTTGGCACCTTTTTGTCAGACTCCCTGAAATTCTTGAGCTCTGGCCATCTGGGTCTTGTCACCAGCCAGGTTGAGCTCTTGGAAAACACCACATGTGGCTGTGAAGTGGCTAAAGATGTAGAAGTGGTCCTTTTTCTGGTACATTTTGCCAGCCTTCAACCAAGAGAACCTCACTTCAGCAATGGTCTTGGCATCATTGCTTTCCTGCCGACAGAAATGCACCATGCATGCAAACGCAGAAGGCTGTATATGAAAGCCTGTATTGGCAAACGATGAACTTCTTGCAAGCAATGCAACTTTTTGGGGGTCCTTCAGGTCCAACACCCTCTCTCCACCAGCAGCATCATCTCCATCACCACCAGAAGCAGCAGAAACATCTCCAAGGCTTCCAGTTCTCTGCAAAGTGTCCAATTCAGACTGGTAGGCAGAATGTATCTCAGACAAGGAGCCAAACACTTTTGCTTCCCTTCCCTTGCCCTCTTTCCTGCAAAGCCATAAGGCAGTTCTGATCAAGAAGCGCCCCAGCAGCTTGACATGGTCCTTGTGAAGCAGGCCCTTGGGAGACTTTTGCAAATCTTCCAGCAGCAGTGTGGCCATCTTCTCTGTGGGCAGCAAATTCTCTTTGTTGGCTGCTGACTTCATTTTGTCAATGTCAGATCGAACCAGCAATCTGCTTATGCCATCCCTTTGCTTGGCGCTACTCAAAGCTGCTGCCATGAAGCAACATCGAACCATGGGAAAAGAAGATTCCTTCCCAAAGTCTGTTTTCACTATTGCAGTGAAGAGCTCTTCTCCCAGCATCATTGATCCTCCAAAAGTTGTTTCTATGGCAGACAGCAGCTTGATAACAGGGAAGCCAGCGCCTCCCCCATGGTGTGCCACAAACTCACCAACCACATCCAAGTAGCGCAAAGGTGAATAGGACTGGCAAGCTTCCACAGAATCTTCCAAATTGTGTGTTCTGGCATAGTTCATAGCCATTGACATGGCCAGCTCCATTTCTGTCACTTGGCCAGCAATGTGGTTGGAGGAGTTCAAAGCTGCTTGCAAAAAGGCTGGAAACCATGGTGCTTCAACTTCTACTGTGGCAGCAAGGCATTCCCAAGTCCAGCCAACATTCAAAGCCTTTGCAAAAGCAGGGTCCTGGTACTCCTGCATGATGTGCTCTGCAGAAAAAACCTTGTCAAAGGCTTCCTCTTCAGTTTGACATCCAGCATGGACAGACTTCACAAACTGACTCATGTGGCTTGAGCTCAATGTAAGCCACCTTTCTTTGCCAGCCAGGGGTGCAAGTTTGCCATCAGCCCCTTCTACCAGCATTTCCATGGCCTTGAGCTGGGCATCTCTTGTCTTCTTCTCGATGCTGAGCTCTATGCACCAGCTTTCACTCAACCTCTCATTCGCCCATCCCACTTTCAAAGCCTGGCAGCCCCTGCTATGCACGTCAGCAGCATTGACCATGCCACCAGAGCGGTTGTGTGGATGCACACTGAGTTGGCTGGTGTGGATCTCCTGCTCATATACCAGCCCATTCTTGCCAAGTACCTCCAGCATTTTCCTGGCCTTGTTCTGTATGCCAAGAGACCTATCATCTCTGAAAAATTCAATAGCTTTCACAGCATCAGCATTCATTGCTGTGCCAGCACTACTGGGGCTCCTCTATACAGTGAGGTGTGTGGTGCTGTGCTACCCTTGCAGCCAGAACCACCAACAACAAGGAAATGCATTGCGCAAGGTTCCAAAACGAGACCTAAATGCCTGTAATGGCTGCACTTCAAAGCAAAGCAAGCCTGTGGTGGCAAAGTTCAAGCCTGTAGTGGCAACGGTTCATCTAGTGAAAAATCACTGCCTTTTGCTCTTTTGGCTGTGCATGTTGCTGTGCGCTCCAGCTTATATACAAAAAATACTTCCCAAGCTTCGATGCTGAGATGTGTTTTTTTCAAGCTTGTTCTCACAGGCAATGCAACATAGCGTGATTGAAGCATTTGGCAAAATTAGTAACTAGTTAGCTAAAACACATAAACTTGCTAAAACACACTAAACAATAAAATTTGTGTATTAACTCAATTAAAAAACTAACATACATATATGAGTTAACTAAAATTTATATAATCATGTCTATTCTTGTAACAGTTTAGAAACATTGTAACTTGTTAGAACAAGTTGCAACAAGTTATTACAAACTTAGTAGGAACATAGCAAATGCTTAGCAAAGCCTTTAAAGCAAGTAACCTACTACTAAAACCACAGCCCATCAAAGTGCCCACACACTACAGACAATCATATCGCACGATACCGCCAATCATCCTGCTCACCAGCGACACGCCGCGTTTACACCAGCATGTTTGGTGCTCCCCAGTGGCACGCCACGGAAACTCACTTTCCACCAAGGCCGCGCAAATCCGCGTGGCGCAGCGACATCGCAGACGTAATTTCGCAACACCGCGTGTCCCAGACTAAACGCAAATGTATCGCGTAATACCGCCAATCGTCCCGCTCACCAGCGACGCCAGCATGTTTCGCGCTCCCCAGTGGCACGGCGCCACGCAAACGCACTTTCCGCCAAGGCCGCGCAAATCCCCATGGCGCAGCGACATTACGGGCGTAATTTCCACACACCGCGTGTCACAGACTCATCCCGCTCACCAGCGACACGCCGCGTTTACGCCAGCATGTTTCGCGCTCCCCAGAAGCATGTTTCGCGCTCCCCAGTGGCACGGAGCCACGCAAACGCACTTTCCACCAAGGCCGTGCGCATCCGCATGGCACTGCGACATCACGGACGTAATTTCGCCACGCGGCGCGGTGCCCAGAGGAAGTCTCGTACGAAACGCTCAATTTTGGAGACTTGGCGCTTCACTTGTGGAGCTGGACTCAGACGTGGCCAGTGCAAATGTAGTACGGGAAAGAGCTTTTCGGAGCTGGACTCAGAAGTGGCCAGTTTGTAGTGCAAATGTAGTACGGGAAAGAGCTTATCGGAGCTGGAAGCTGGACTCAGAAGTGGCCAGTCCGTAGTGTAAATGTAGTGCAGGAAAGAGCTTTTCGGAGCTGGACTCAGAAGTGGCCAGTTTGTAGTGCAAATGTAGTACGGGAAAGAGCTTTTCGGAGCTGGGCTCAGAAGTGGCCAGTTTGTAGCACAAATGTAGTAATGGAAATTTAGGCATTTAGCTTGCGTGTGCGGGGTTTTCTTCGATCGCTGCTGGTCTCACCTTTTGGTTCATAGGCCTCAGGGTTTTAGAGTGCCGGGGGTTGGGGCGACATGTTGGTACCACGTTCGGTGCTAGCGATCCTGCTCCTGGCATGTGACCCTGTGGCGCGGATTTCCCAATCCTGGGGGATGGGAAACCTAGGGATCCCCTACTTCACGAACAGCAGCAGCGATGCGTGTGCAGCTGGTGAGGATTGTAAGGCAGGATCCACTCCGACGGGTGAGACCCGAGGTGCGCCCTTGCGCCCGGGTTCAAAACCCCAACAAGGACCAAAGGAGGAGGGATGGTGGCCAGGGAGGTTCGCCTGGCTGATCCATCTTAGCTTCCAACTTCTCTCGGATGCCGCTTATGTGAGTCTCAACTACTGCGGCACGCTGTGCGCGTCCATCGGGTTAGCTGCCCGGTGGTCGTACTGGCTTGCCACTGCCGTAGTGGCAGTGTTCCTCTTACAGCTCCTGGTTTGGACTTGCAATTGGATCGTAATACCCGTCTACAGGCACAGCGTGGCTTTCGGTCGATACCTCACTGGGCATGGGCAGTGGTATGAGCTAGCTCAGATCCATGGAGTGCGGGTCTTCCGACCCAAGTGGGTCGGACCAAGAGGTCGGGAGGAGTGGACTTCCGGGTTTGCGCAGCAGGAAGTCCGCGGAAGAGGAGAGGGCAGAGAGCCCGTGGACCTCCTGGTCACCGATGGGACGGCTATAGCGAGACTCCGACATGGCACGCTGAGGGGAAGGACCCATCGGTACGGGTTCCGAGCTGAATGTGACACGGTCCACTCCTCATCGCATCGCTATTACAGGAATCAATTGGAGGGAATGGATTGCAGAGTGCACTTGTGCTCCCAAACCCCGTGCGGACAACCGGATGACGATTGCACGCATGTGGTAGCAGCCGCAGTTATCCCCCGCCATCTCGAATTTGATTTGCAAGATGAGGCGGGTAAAGGACCGGTGGCAAGGTGTGCCACAGCCGCTTGGCTATGTGGGTCCTCCACCCTCAGTGTGTGTGGGATTGCAGGGCGAATGTTCAAGAAATTTGTTCGCTGTATCCTTTGCATTCAGTGCTGCTGCCCAACCAGAAGGGCTTCAAGGAGCAGGGCACCTCCTGAGAGTGGCACTTCCACTCCCCGTCACGACAACTCAGAGACTGAGTCTGAGGGGGAGGATGAAATGGGCTGTCAGGCCGAGTCCGTAGCGTTTCTGGTAAACGGCAAAGCGATGCCCCTGTCTTTCGCCCCTTGCAAGGATGCAGCTAGGGGGAACAAAGTGAAGCTCTTGGCCTCCGACGCCGAGGTGAGTAGCGCGGAGGATCTGAAGCATGAAGATGGAAATTTCTATTTTAGATGCTGCCACCACCATCGAGCTTTGTATGAGGGACAGGCGGCCAAGAGAACTTGTGTTTATGAAGGATGTAACAAAGGGGTGACAGCAACGAAGGGCGGTTTGCGTTTGTGCAAACTCCATGGGGCCAAGGAAGAGAAACCCAAGCCCTCAGCTAAAGTAAGGGGCACTAAACCCAAAGCCGCCGCAAGCCCCCCTGCGGGTATGTCCGACTCCGAGGCGCGTTTCGCGCCCGGAGTCGAGACTGAGAATTCGCGGGAAGTGCTTCCTCGGGCAACCCAGCCTACCTCCCTGGGCCAATACTTGCGAGCTATCCTCGAAGGGAAAGGGATCTCCGAGGCTCTTCGAGCTTGTGCCAAAGCGGACTGTGGGCCAAGAGAGACCTGGGAAGAGTTGAAGGAACAGGCCACTGCTTACGTGGCCAGGCTCCCTCGAGACTACCCGACATAGGCCAGGAAGGCAATAGTCAACCTCGTGACGGAAGACTGTCCCTTGCAAGAGTGGGAACCGGACGTTAGTGGCGACCCAGTCCTGGACATTGGTCTCCAGCCCCCCAGGAGAAGGGAAAAGACCAACAAGATGCCACTGAGCGGCCTATTGAAGTCCTTCCACGCTCTCGAGCGTCGTCCCGTTCGGTAGCCCCCAGCGCAGCCAGCTTGTACCGCCCTAGAGGCACCGCAACGCTGCCTTTGGGTATGCCAGAGCTCAGAGCCACTAACCCTCGGGACGCCTATGCATCTTTCGCTGCAGTGTCAAGGCCTCGGCGCGCAGGGGCTTACACTGACGGTGAACCGCTGCACACGGACGAGACCGCCAAGGCGTTGCAGGCCATTGCACGAGCGGTGACCTCCAAGGATGAAGCGGCTAGCCATGACAAGGGAAAGTTGGCTTCCATCGGAAAGGTGGAGGAAAGGCTCATCTTCTTGGTGCGAGGATGTGATGCCTTGACCGTTTCATTGGGGAAGGCGACAGTTGGTAAGGAGTTGTTCCATTCCTTGAGGTCCACTTCTACCCAAGGCAGACCACAACTTCGGATGATGCAATTCCCCGTCAACATCAACAACCGGATCGCCTACGGCTTGGCGTCTCTCAACATCAGGGGAAAGGACGCAAAGGCAGTGCCGGAGTACTGTCTTTCAGCGGCCGATTTCCCTCTGACCTCAGAAGAGGAGTTCGATGGCTGGATTGGATGCTCAGACCTCAAGTTGGAGAAACGGCCCAAGCCCCCCATGACGCTGAACGCTTGGTACCGCAATGCACTCCGAGAAGCTTGGGCAATAGCCTGTGTGTATGGCACGGAACACTACGCATCTCTCGAGCAAGCGGCAACTTTTTTGCTGAAGCTGGGAGAGGAGCACGCGTACATGTGGCCCGCGCACGCTATCTTCAGCGTTTGGGAAGAACTCTGGTCGAGGTATGTGGAAGAGCTCAAGGACCTTGACCGAGAACTCAGGAGGGCTATGAAGGAGGAATCCCCTACCTTCGAGAGAATCCGTTTCTTCGTGACCGCGCCTGGAGAAGACGGAGAGCCCTGGCTGAGATTGCCTCGAACCTTCTTCCTTGAGGACCCCCTTGAGTATTTCCAGACGGATGTTCTTCCAAGGCACAACCGGCTGTTGTCAAGAGCCTGTTGGCAGGTCGCCTTAAAAAAGACCCCTGGGGGTATCGGAACCTTGCATGGAGGGAAGGCCGGCGAAGGACCCGAGGCGTGCGATTCGCGCCCGGGGCCAAAGCCGGGAAAGGTAGATACCCAGAGCAAACCCTTCATCGGGCCCCCTCTCACCAACAAGGAAGCTGCTCGGGCGTTGGATCACCGTCCCAAAGAGAAGATGGGAGCCCGATACCTATGCTGGGACCACATGTGTCACAAGGGCTGCGCAAGACCGGGAACTTGCCCCCATGCTCACGGAACCGCTCCGAAGTGGGAATCTCTTGACTGGGCGGTGCAAATGCAGCTGATCAGGAGAGGCGGTCTTAGAAGCAAGGCCCGGCTTACTGAGCAGCAAGCAGCCGAGCAGATTGAAGCCACCCGGAAGGCACAAGTTCTGAAGACGCCAGAAATGGTCAACAAAGGGAAGAAGGTGAAGAAGGTTGGAGAGGCAGAACCGTCCGGAGACCAGAGTGAATCCAAAGTGGGAGAGGATTCAAGAGCTCCGGCAAGAGCGCCGGCGAGTGTTAGCCCCTGCGATGAACCACCAGAGGAGTTCACCGGCATCCACCCCACAGATCAGGAGAGTGAAATGATGGATCTACTGGAGGGACCGGTGAGCTTCTTCAAAGACCAGGATGCCCTCAAACCAGCTCGAGAAGCAACAGTCAAGAATGATGCGATTGGCCCCCCTGGAGTCGATCGTTTGAAGGGAATGAAAGATGTCGACCAATCTGGGTTGACAAAGGGCTTCGAGGGACTGCTGCGGGTCTATCTGAGCAACCAGTTGTTGCTCCACCTGACAAGGCCCTGAGCATGAAGGACGTTCGCCAAGCCCTAGAACGAGCTCGGGCCGAAGGTTCCCCGGACCTTTCGGCCGCAGCGGATGAGGCGTTGCAAGGAGTCCAGGAGCAGAAGACAGGGTATTCACCCAACACCGGCCATCTTTCCAAGATCGAATGGCACGAGCAAGTGGGGCATGGAGTTCTTACCTGGGAAGGAGGCTCGTGGGACGTCTGGGATTATGGGGACAAGCTGACACCCGAGGGTGACTGGCCTAAAGCCCTTCTGGAGTACAAAGCAGCGGGAGAAGAGCCTGAGTCGAGTGCCTTCTCCTCCATTGTGCCGCGGGGTACCTCCAAAGGAAGACAGGAAAAGTACCCGACCTCGTCCTTGTGCAGAGCCAAGCAAACCTACTCCGTAAGGAGTTGATCTCCCAAGCTAGCGAAGCGAGCAGACACCTTGGAGACTGTCCCGACACCATGCCCCGGTCCGAGGCTGACCTTCGCGTCTTTGTACACGACCTCCTGCATTTGGTCCCATGATAAAGATTATAGAACACTGGCTGCCTTTCTTGCCGATGACTTGCTTGAATACACCTTGCACGTGGTCCGCATGACCTCCGACCAGGATCTGACTACAGAGCTGATCATCGGGGCACTGTCGTCTGATCTTCCCAGATCTATCTCTTGGTCCATCAGGGACATATGCGCCTCTTGGTACCAAGGGAAGCAGAACGATACCCCCCAGTGATCCGCGAGGTAATTGCGGCTGGCTGGGAATGCCATCTCGAGGCGGCTGAAGGTTCCGAGGCGACGGTTCGCGCCCGGGACTATCTTTTGTGCCCCCGGTGTGCCGCTCCAGAAGAGGTTCCTCGTCGTTCCGGCGGGCGCCCCCCCTCGGTCTTGGGTTTACACCTTAAGTCCGATGGGCCCGAGAAGTTTGGCGGGTGGACTCCAGGACCCCTTGAAACTGTCGACATCGACGAAGCTCAATGGGGCGACGAAGATATTGCCAGCTGGCTGGGTCCACAAGCAACGGTTTTTTACCGTGCACTCAAACAGGGCTTGGACTTCCTCGAGGTCTATGCTGGCACCGCCCGTGCTTCTGACGCTGTGTTAGCCAAGGGCGGACTTGCCCTGTTCCTTGGGCTGGACCACCGACAAGACTTCCGAAACGCCCGCGACCGCTCGCTCGGAAAGGCCCTCCTGCACCGCACCGCCCCGCGTCATTACTGGGGATCGTTCCCTTGCACCCCTTTCTGCGCCTGGATCCGTCTGGCCATCCTTCGCAACTGCGACATGACCCTTCGACTTAAAGAAGGCCGGCTCCATCTCAAATATGCCCTGGAGCTCGCTGCCCTTCAAGTTGAAGCGGGCCGCCATGCCCACCTCGAGAATCCGCTGACTTCTATGGCTTGGCGCGAACCTATTGCCTTGAAGGCCCTTGCCCTTCCTGTCTGGCTGCGTGCCCGGCTCGACCAATGCCAAACTGGCCTGTCTTCTCCCGCTGGTGGCCTTCATCTCAAGCCCAACTTGATTCGCACCACCGATCCGGCCATGCGCGACGCCCTCAGCCTCACTTGTTCCCGGGACCATCCTCACGATCCAGTCGCTGGAGCCGCGACCGCTCTTAGTGCTATGTACTCCCCGCATCTGGCGGACCTGATTGCCACCGTGGTCCTTCATGGGGGCGGGGAGGGAGCGTCTTTTTCGCGAACCCCCCCTCCTGCTCATGCCCGCGTCGGGGGGGAACCGCGGCGAGTTTCTCGCCCGGTTCTCGTTCGACCTGGCATGAAGGCCTGAAGGGGCCAGAACTTCGAGGTCCTCTCAGTTCTCCGCTCAGCGAGGAAACCGAAAAAGCCTGCAAGGTGTATCTGACCTTTGTCAAGGAAGCGCCCTACGGCAAAGATGCGTTCCGTTTCGAAGGGCTCCATTCATCTTTCTTTGAAGGCCTGGTTGCAGACAACCTTCTGGAAAAAGCACGGGAGAATGCCGTGTGGGGTGTGTCCGCCAACTATGAAGGGGGGACGGGTCAGCGAGTACAGTGCGGCCCACACCCGAGTTTGCGTGAACACCTTGAAGAAGCAGCGCAACAGATATGGAAGGACGCCAGCAGAGGCAGGGTTCTCCTCTATGCTTTGACGAAGGGGGCCCCGAGCTGGACGGGGTGGTCTCAGTTGCAATGGCGCGAGTCCCCAAGATGCTCCCGGACCGGACTGTTTCCTCCAAGGGAAGGGTGATTTGGGATGCAAAGCCAATCAATGCCTTTTGCGACAAAGCCCGACATCCACCAGCGCTGCAGCCTAAACACGATGAAGTTGCACGGCTCATCATCTGGTGGCAGGCGCGCCATCCGAATACCCCGATCCTTCTGTCAAAGAAGGACGTCGCAGACGCCTTTAAGTGGGTGCCAATAAGAAAAGAGGATACTCGTCTCTTCGCAGCTGATTTGCCCGGCGGGGCTTTCGATGCACCGGGAAAGTGCATAACTGTGCTCTATAATCACCTCACCTTCGGCTGGACCGGAGCTCCCGGTGAGTTCATGTTATACGCTTGGTTGATCAAACTCAGCCACAGCATGTTCAAACCGCCCGATGGTGCATGGAATGACACTCCGCCTTTCCAATCACTGGTTCTTATGGACGATGCCGTCCTCATTGAACCCCTGCTTGGCCTCCGCCCTTGGATCTCGGTCCAGACCATGGAGACTTGCGCAACCCAAGCGTTAGGCCCGAATGCTATCAACGCTGTCAAGGATGAGGTTGAAGGCGCTCTGGAGACGCGAAAGCTGATCTGGGGTCTGGTGTACGATACCGAGAAGAACACCAGGACTTTGCCGCCCCAGAAGCTGGAGAAAGCCTCGCATCTCCTTCACCTCCCGGAGTTTGACCATGGCAATACAAAGATTCCCCTCAAGCTAGTGCAAGAGCTTCGAGGAAACCAACAGTTTTGAGTCTCAATCCTCCCATCGCTGAAACCCTTGCTCTCCGCCACCAACTCGCTGCTGGGACCGGCGGACTCTGAGGGCCTGGCCCAGCCGAGAGGGAGTGAAGAACAGCAAAGGCGTGCTTGGGTCCGCTTCTGGGAGGCGGTGGAGTTGCAGCGCCTCCTGGTCGACAATCGGGCAGAGTGGGGGGTGCGCTTTACCCATCCCATGACTGAGGCCCTTTCCTTGTGAGGGAACTGTTGGCCCTGCCCGGGGGAGCGAACAAAGTTGTCTGGGCGTCCGGAGACGCGACGCTTGAGCGGGTTGGGGCGGTCGACTGGTCGCACAAGCAAGCTTATTCCCTTGAGGTGCTACCCTATCAGCGGCTAATTGAGGCCATGGAAGCAGAGGCCCTCGCGGAGATATCCTGTCCGAGGCGCGCTTCGCGCCCGGAAGGGGATATCTGCGAGGAAGCGGAACCGGGGAGAATGATCGTCGCCTTGACCGAGCTTTTAGCAGTCCTTCTCCTCGCAGTCTGCCAGTGTGAAAGATGGCAAGGAAAGGTTGTCCTGTACATGGGAGATAACCAAGTAGTGGTCAAGTGGGTCAACACTCGTCAAGCGAAGCATCCATTTGCCAGCTACCTCCTGCAAGTCATCGCGGCGATTGAGGCCTGCCATGGTTTTCACTTGCACACGGCCTACTTGCGGACCTACCACAATGTGGTGGCAGATGCGCTGACCCGCTTGGACGCTGCCGAAGTGATCGCAAAGGCGGGCCTTGCAGAGCTGCCAAAGCCGACGCTTCCTTGATCGAGGCTGGCAGCGAAGGGCACTGGTGTGGGCGGGTCAGGCCGACGTGGATACCAGCCAAGCTCACCGCCTAGCGGAGGCGCGGTCTCCACGGGCACCCCACCCCGGTCTTACTGTTGCTGGGGGCGTCGGGCTCACCTTTCTTCCGGTGGACCCACTCTCGGCTGGCTACGAACCAGCTCTGCGCGCTTCCGCAGCTGATAGGGGCGAGCCGTTGGACTTGAGCCCTACAGAAGGGACGTTTGCCTATGAAGGGAATGTGGACAGCCACTCCGCCTCGATGGAGACCCAACCCCCGGGGAAAACCATTGTGTGCTTTTCCCTTCCCTGGAAGGGAGCGAGCGGTTTGCTGGAACGCCTGGCTCAGATGATTCAAACCACTGGTGTCCACCTCGTTTGGGCGGACAGCCTAGACCGGGATCAGGCAGAGGCACTGGGAAGGGAGCTCGCCCGCCAAGGCTTCTCGGTTGTGGTAAAGCCCCTGTGTGGCTGCTCGCTGCGAGATCAAGTCTGGTGGAAGCGGTGGGTCATGGCGGCCTCTTGCGGCGACGGAGTCAAGTTCCCATGGGTCAGCGCCGATGACGAGCCATGCACTCCGCCGCTCCTTAATTACCCCCTGGAGTGGCTGGCAGACGATGGGGGGAGCAGTTGGGAGCCAGGTGTGCTGAGGCTCGACTCTTCTATGCCTTACTTGGGCGCCGCCAAGCCAAAACCTGCCGGCACCCTCCTCCGACCCAAAGAGGGGAGAGCATTGGTCTGGGATCCCAAGCGGCCGCTGCCCGGGCTTCACCTTGGGTCCTGGGATAGTACCCAGCCGGACCGGCTGCTGTTGCTTGGAAAGGGGCCAGACGGGCCCGCTGCAAGGCCCATCTCTCGGGGAGAGGCTATGGACCTACTGAACGGCCGCAGGTTTCGAGGAGGAGAGCTGCAGAGAATGGAAGCGCAGGAAGTTCTCAACCTCCCCCGAGGTCCCTTACTGAGCTTGCCGTAAAATGGGGGGCCGTCCAGGTGGCGACCAAAGTTGGGGTCTGCGAGTTGCGCTGGGAAAGGGAGTCCCAGGAGATTCTTGAGTCCTGGCTTCGGGCAAACCCTGCCAAGAAGGGCGCCCTGGTGGTCGGAGGGGGGAGAAAGAAACGTGAGGGCCTTTCCCAATGGGAGCGAGCCATGAAGTCGATGTGCTACGTCCTCCGTCACGGAAGTGGGACGCCTGAATGCCCCATCACTGAGGAAGGGTGGGTGCGTTGGCAAGATGTTGTTAGTCATGAATCTTGCCGCAGATTTGGCGAGAGGGTCC